GTTTATCAATGCATTTTGGGGCTTTACTGTTGAGGAAGGCTGATCTACTTCAGTTATCCTATGCTTAAAAACTGAACAACTCGACCTCCCATAGGATCGCTGCATAGAGGTTTAAAGGAAAAATGTAGGCACTATAACTATTTAATCTCACTGCACTGACTTGGTTATAGTGCCTGGAATCCCCTGGCACTGTCCCTCCATTCAGTGATAAATTGTCATTAATTTTTTAATACTAAACGAGAGCCAGACCCACTAAACTGTGCACCAAGTAACCTTTATTTTTGGTTAATCTGTTTTTCTTTTTTTCTATTATTATTATAATTATTTTAACGTTTTAGGTATTTAAAAAAAATAAGGGACCACACCAACACTAGATCGAACACACACAGGGTTACACCTACCTCCACGAGCAAGGAACTCACATAGGCAAACCACACAACAACTAGAAAAGGCCACACATGAGCCCAATACGCACCACTTGAACAATGCCCACCAGGAACATTGCAAACTAGATGGAAGCAATGACGAACACATACTTTTAGACGACAGAGACGCGAAGAGGGAGACCGCAGGACTTAGGAGAAACCTAACGATTCGCTAGGGAGACGGTCTAACTAACAGAGCTCACAAACACAAACGCATGAAAGGAACACACAACTCTGACCTCTAGGCTGGTACGACTACTCCCCACGATCTCCAGGTCTCCAATAACCGCGGGAATTAGGGGCCAGAGTTCCCCAGGATATAGCCAGATAATCCTACCGACCCCACCAGAGGACGCACGACACCCCGAGCTCAGGAACACATGTCAGGAAGGGGGATTTACAACAGAAAGGAGATAGGGATGAGAGGTAGCTGACAAAAGGGCCGAAAATGCGACCTTAGGAAAACGAGGCCTGCGGGCTCTGTGGGAGCGGAAACATGATGTCAAAATAGATACATGGATACCTTACATTATGTTTGAGACCTGCGTGTCTCCTTTCCAAATCTGCACGCTTGTAAACAACTGCATTTACGCCAATAAAATTCATATTTACAAGAAAAAAAATAAGGGGAGGCGGCGCCTGACTTCCGGTGCAAATGGCGGTATATTGCTAGAGCTCCACACAACCAGGACCTTCGAAAGCTAATATCAGCCGCAATTCCTACACCAATTAACGCCCAAAAACCTGCAAAATCACCATCAACTGGCGGTACACTCACTGAGATGGGCGGAGGACGCAAATCAAAACAGGGGTCCGCGGTGGCTCCGATCTTACGTAGCCGCAAAACGGAGGAGGAACAGCGGGCCGAAGAGAATAGAGACTATGACTCCGACTCCACAGGTAGTGACATAAGTCAGCAAAAACGTACCCCATCACAAAGGATGACCTCCGTGGCTCGATGCACGAAATTAAAGCAAACATGGTGGCAGAATTTATTAAGCACCTGGCTCCCCTACGGGCAGGCCTCACGGATCTCGTGCAACGCACCAGCACCCTGGAAGACAAAATGGACGTCGCCACATCTAGAGCAAACACCCACGGGCAGGCCATACAAGACCTTAGGGAACAGGTGAAACAGCTAGAGGACGCCCAAGAAGACCTAAATACTTGAAACAATCGATATGGAGTCCCTCTCATCCACCATCAGGGAAACCTTCTGCAGTCTGCTCCCGAAAGCACCTCCAGCCGAGCTTTTACTGGATCGCGCCCACAGGGCACTATGGGCCCCCACTCCTGGAATGACAAGGCCACGAGATGTGATTGTGCGGCTCCACTACTACCACATCAAAGAGGCCATAATGAGAGCCGCATGGGACACACCCCTCCAAATAGAGGGACACCAGGTCCTTTTCTTCCAGGACTTGGCCCCCAGCACCCTGCGAAAGCGAAGAGAGCTGTGTCCACTTAGCCAGGAACTCACACGGAGACTGAACCGATACGCGTTGGGGCACCCTTTTAAACTCACGGTGCGTAGAAATAACCAAATATATACACTCCACGACATCGCGGAGGCAAGAAGCTTTGCAGAGAGGCTGGGCCTACCCCACGCAGACACCAATGACAGAGAGGCATCCAACGCGGCCCGAACACCTCCACCCAGAAGAGCTGAGGCGGACCACCAACGACGCCACTCACAGACAGGAGATCCGAACCCTGCCAACCGGGACTAACCAACACCAGCCTGCAGACCGACACTGCACGCCCAGAACTTCACGACTCCGATTTCCTGAAATGGACTGCATTCGCTTACGCCTCCATGGACACTGACACACAGCACACCTAAGACTCTAACATACCCGACAGCTCGACAGCGCACAGCATTGCCACCACCAGAAAATCAGCTAAGATATAGTTACTCACAATGCTAACCTGTATTTATTCCTGTAATTCTGTTGCATGCATGTTTAATTCCTATGTACATACCACATATACACATACAAGCGCGCTACGCGCTGAAAACATAACACCCATAACCCCCTTACATCTATATCGACACATAAGGGGAGCCATGTCCATCATTAGCCCCCTCAACCTCCCACCCCCAGAGATAACCACCAAAGGTGGAGTAGAACCTCCCCCCATCCTCAGGAGGTCCAGAGCAAACCAGACCCCATAAATAAATCGAGATAGGGAAATGCTCACCACACAAGGCATACCCTCGATCCCATAAGATAAAGCACTGACAGTGCCCACCTAGGCAGGGGTAGGCATGGCAGGAATGAGCCCTTAATGCCCACTGCACCTGCTTCCACAAGGTGGACGAACTCCCTACCCTGGACACACAAGCGACATCATTACCCTAAGGCTCTACCTGCAGAATACCACAATGTACTGCAAACCTGAAACGTAAACCCTCGCTCTATACAAGCGTAAAAAAAAAAAATATATAAAAATTAAATGAATTTACTTAAAAGGGAAAGGGAAAAAAAAGAAGAAAAAAAAAAGCACTCATAACACCCCCTTGGCCCCCCTAACCCCAGGTAAAACTCCATGCACCCGAGAAATGAAACAACAAACAGAGGAAAAAAAATAATTAATTGAAATTACTTATAAGGGAAGGGAAAAAGGAAAAAAAATTAAAATCACTCATAACACATGGAAAACTCTATGCACCCGAGAAATTAAACAACAAACAGAAAAGAGAAAAAAAACAGAGAGAGGGGAAGAAAAAAATAAATAAAAAAGAGGCTCCCTCACCCGACCCTGGGATACGACCAGAGAGTCATAAACATACAAATACACCAAATGCACAACATATATGTACAAGGTATAATACAGTGGGAACACAGCAGAACTGACATTTAAACGCTACCTGAAGGTACACACTTTGAAGTGATAACGCTTATTACTGCCTAGGTATAACACAAAACACAGTGGGAACACAACAGAACTGACATAATAATGCTATTTGAAGATACAAAGACGGATGTGGTAATGTGTATTACTGTTTACGTACAACATAAAACAAAGTGGGAACACAATAGAATTGGCATTTTAATGCTGGTCGCTGGTACAAAGTTTGATAGGTTAATGTTACTTACGATTTATGTATAATGTATAACACATTGGGAACACAATAGTATTGACATTGTAATGCTAGTCAACGGCACACAATTTGATATGTTAATGCTTATTATGGTTTAACATGTGACCTAAATCTATCCCATATAGGGACAAGAGACCCAATTGGAAGCTACACACCACAACCCCCAAGGGATGACGAAGACCGACACACAAGGCGACAGACACACTAACTAAGACCCATCACCCATCGGAGCGAACCAAACTCATCCACCAACAGACAATTCTGGGTACAGTGCTCACACACACCCTACACCCTTATGCAACGTACACATAAAGCCTCTCCCTGCTCTCTCCGGACCCGCCTACCTTCTAGGAGGGGTGGCGGGAGGGGGCAGGGCGATGCCAGAGACACCAACAACTAGCACACAGAATGAATAGAACACACCCCCATGAGGAATTGCAATGACTCAAACAAAGGGCCTGCACGCGACTCCGGCTACCCGCCACTACCTACCAACACACTTCCTAATCTAATCCCTCACACCTTAGGAGCGGTCAGATGAAACACTCCACCACCTACTGGCAACGAGTAAGACCAGTAGCTCGGCCCTCTAGGGCCCCCCACATATAGAACTACTACCCTACCCTTTTCCTCTTCCCCCCCACCACCACTCCAACCCCATAACCTCTTCCTTTCAACCCATCGCTGTGGCATGGAGCCCCAGCCCGCGCCCCAGCCCAATTGCCACCCCACCCGCCAACACGCTATACTCTATAACTAACACCAGACTCAACCCAGTATAACGACCATCACAATGCCCCTCTCCCTGAAATGCATCTCCATCAATACCAAGGACCTTAACACACCCATTAAAAGACATGGACTACTACGCTGGGCACATTGGCAACACGTAGACACACTACTCCTGCAAGAAATTCACTTCACAACCACATGATCGTTTCCCCTCACCAACCGCTACTATAAACAGAGTTACCTGGCCAATTCCCCGGACACTAAAACGAAAGGGGTCGCAATTATAATGAAATCCACATGCCCTGTAACGGACATTAAGTGCACGATGGACCCCCAAGGACGCTACGTCACAATAGACGGGAAAATAGGCACAACTACATATGCCATAAGCTCAGTATACGCCCCAACCACCCCAAACGACACGTTTTGGCAACAATACGCCACACACTTACAAGCCTATGCAGGCAAATGCCTGATAATAGGTGGAGACTTCAATGTCGCACACGATCCAGCCATTGATAGATCATCGCGGGGGGCAGACTTCCCACAACCCTCCCAAAACGACACCTACTTCGCCCAATTCTTAACCACACAAACGCTAGTCGACATATGGAGAGCACAACACCCATCTACCTTGGACTACACCTTCTATTCGCACCCACACACCTCATACTCACGCACAGACCACTTTTTAATCTCCCCAAATTTACTACCCCAAGTATCTAGCACCAACATAGGCACCATCTCGTGGTCAGACCACACCGACATATCGCTCATCATCCGCCTCCGTGACTTAAAACGACCATGGTCATGGAAACTGAACCCGCTGCTCCTCCACGACACCCAGATTAAGCTCACAGTCGCCGAAGCCATCAAAGAATATTTTGACACTAACACACCTTCCGCAACCTCACCGACAACACTATGGGCTGCACACAAAACAGTTATCGGAGGCACCCTCATTAGCTTAGCTTCAGCCCACAAAAAAGGAAAACACAGCAAATCACAAAGACGCTGACTGAGCTGCGAAAACTAGAAACTAGCCATAAACAGCCAAATACATTGCGCGAACTAAACGCCCTTTCTCTACCGCACGCTAGACCATATGAACTTCCCGAGTACATTTCTTGCATTCCTACAAGCAACATACCACTCCCCCCCAAGGAGCCCTCCTCCTTCCCAATATCACCCCACCTAAATTCCCAATATCGAATGGCACACAACAAGGCTGTCCACTATCGCCCCTTATATTCGCACTATCCTTAGAGCCCCTACTCCAAGCAGTTCGCACCAATCCTCACATAGAAGGAGTAACTATCAGAGGTGAACCATACACTGTGTCTGCCTATGCGGACGATATTTTCCTGACACTAACCAACCCAGACCAATCATTAGAATCCCTCCTAGATACCATACATGAATACGCACTTGTTGCAGGATATAAGCTGAATTTAGCAAAACGGAAATCCTGCCGATTCAACTCTCCGACTCACAACTAACCAGCATAAAAAATAGATACCCATTCCGAATATGCTCATCAGCCATAACATACTTGGGAATACAGCTACCAGCTGACTTAACCACTATATACGTGAAGAACTACACCCCGTTACTACGCATAGCACATGCCGACACTGGTGGACGACACTGGGAGTGTCCTGGCTAGGTCGGGTGGCGTCTGTAAAAATGAACCTATTCCCCCGACTGCTATACCTCTTTCAGACGCTGCCCATCCCACCCCACAAAGCAGATCTCAAAGCCCTACAAACAGCGGTTGATAAATTTATATGGAATGGCCGCAAACCCCGAGTCAGCAGAACCATACTTTATGTCCCCAAAAAACACGGAGGCCTAGGGCTACCGAACTTCACACATTACTACGCAGCAGCGCAATTAGCCCAGATCCAACACTGGCACGCCCCACCACAAACCAAAAGATGGGTAGACCTCAAACACATAATCTTTGGAAAAGACCATCCATCCCTATACATGTGGGTCCCAAAACCACACTGCCCCCTACCACCCCCAACCGCCTCAGCCATCACACATTCCCTGGACCTTTGGGATAAACTGCTGGACAAATATGAACTGTCCACGTTCCTCTCCCCAATGACCCCGATATGGTGGACCAAACTATTCCCACCAGGGCTTACCCCTGTTCACTTTGCCCACTTCGACCAAAGGGACATCGTGAGACTTAACCACCTGTACCAAAACAACGCGGTAATAAAATACTTGGAAATCAAAGACGCGGACACTCTGACAACATTTGACCACTTCCGATATATTCAGTTACGCAGCTTCGCATCAACCACAATAATACAACAAGCCGGTACAACCACACTCACCCGATTTTAGAAAGAATGCACACACCACCCAATATGCACGACCCTGGCAACCCACCCCACCCAAGTAACACTAACTTACATAGCAGCCTGGGAAAAAGATCTAGGACCCCTAGAAGACAACACAGACTGGGTAGATATCGGGGAAGCTACGGCCTCGATATCAATATGCGTAACAGATGCGGAACAAGCATACAAGGTGCTATTTCGCTGGTACATCACACCCCAACGCCTAGCATTAATCCACAAAACAACACCCAGAACATGCTGGAGACTCTGTGGAGAACAAGGGACATTCCTCCACTGCTGGTGGACATGTCCCAAAATAAAACCCCTATGGATCAGAGTCACCACGCTACTGACAAAAATTCTACACAAGCCATACCCATTGGACCCATGGGCCCTCCTACTCTCAAAACCACTAGAGAACCTAACCAGAGCAGAAAACAAACTCGGTGCACGCATCGCCATAGCAACAAAACGGGCGATAGCGGAACTGTGGTCAACTACCCGCAAACCATCACAAACGAGCATCACCAAAAAAAATACAGGATAACATACAAATGGATAAGCTCACATCCCAACTCCATGACACACCCAAACACTTCCACAAGGTCTGGGACCCATGGCTAGAAGGAGACACCTCCCTACCCTGGTAAATACAAACACAACTTGCACACACCCCAAATACTTTCTTAACTAGTTCTAAAGACCATATTCCCAACATAGCTCCCCTTAAGCCCAAACATCACCTCACCCTGCCCTACCCACTGGGCTGGGGCACCGTGCGGTGGAGTACCCCAACTACCCATCCACGGACCCCCCCACCCCTGGAACCCTATCTCTCGACCCACCCTCTACCCACTGCACCGCCTCCCTGCTCCTGCACAGGAACAGGCATCAGAACTCAACCACCTGACGTACACACACCCAAAACACACAAAACCCTATAACAAAAAAACACCAAGTGCCAACTAACCACCAGGCTCCAGGATAACGACACTCTGAAGGCTAATAGACTCATATACCGGGAAACCGACAACACCACCACAAAGATATACCGAAAACGGGGAAAAGCATGACCATAACACCAACACCCCCAGGGAATAATGGACGCCCCATAGGACCCACAACTCTGCAGAACCAAGGGAAATGTTTGCATCTTCCCCTTACATGACAGAGCAACATGACAGAGAGAGAACAACACGTGGCCTAACAATCTCTTACATATTTAGTTTATACAACCACAACGAATGCGGGGCTATACAAATAAACCCTCGGAGTAGCCTAGAAAACTGTAGAACCTAGCTCTCTAGGTCAACTGAACAGAACATTACTATTTTTTTAAAAAAAATTTAAGAAAAGAATATGTACAACACAAGCTATTATTACCTCCGCATATGTAACGGGTGATCGTGTGAATGTAAAAAGAAAAGAAACTGTACAACTGTGCATTACCCTTCCCCTACTTTCTCTTCTGTAACCCACACCCCACCCACTGAAATACACAAAATGAACCATAAATAAAAAATTATTAAAAAAAAAAAAATTAGACCATTTTACTCCACAGTTTACCGTAAAATAATACTACTTTAAAATGGAGGGACCTACACAAGGCTTTATAGAACTTACAAGACAAAGTAAGTAGGACATTCATTACCGCCATTTGATCTTTAGAGACCTAATTGCCATGACAGCAAACTGTAACATCTAAGGGATCGAGGTTCACTATTTTAAAACATTGTTTTTCTCCTGGTAAAGTATAGCTGGTAACGTAATCAATGTAACATGACAATTTACAGACATCTGCACTAAAGACTGTGCTGCCACCAGTATCCCTGAATTAGTTAAATTATGCACCCATGTTTATTGCATTGTGAGCATACAAAGGACAGAGCAAGACAATGTGTGTCCATAAAGAGTGGGAGGTTTCTATTCCAAATATAAGGCTACCCTTTGTTTCAGAGATCTGATGAACCAGCGTTCGGCAAATGTCACAGTCTCACACTTATCACTCTCACTGTGGGCAAGTAACCATCTCAGTACCCTCAGAACAGGGAATAACAGGCTGGGGAGAGTGCAGAAGGACTAGCAAATAGATCCAGAATAACTTTCTAAGCTGCAGGATTGGCTTTAAACAGACACATTTCTGTATACTGGGAATCAGTATGAAGAAATTGTATGGACCACCATGGCAGTTGACACCATTGTGGTATGGTAAGGTGATATAATGAGATCTGATTACCTTTACGGGGCAGATCCTTCCAGCCATATGGCACTGGTCTTTGGCTGAGGACATCCCAGTTGTTCTCAGTCATGTGACTGTCCCACAGAAGCAACGGAATGTCAAACTTGAACAATTTACTAAACACAGAGTCATTCCTGGCAAGCAGTTGCAGAGACGTGGGACAAGCAAGAGGGGTGTCCTCCTGAAATAGGGTGAAAAATAATAATGAAATCAACAAAATTAATATGGTGGGTTTCGAACAAAACCTTGCAAAATAATTGCATTGGTAAAATTTTCATGTTTAAACCTGTTATCCACATGGTAAATGTACACAGAAACAGTGTGAGACGCATGCAGGGTTTTTCACTAAAGTAAGAATTCAATGTAAATTCAAAGTAAATTTAACATTTTAGGCCGAAACAGTTGAACTTCAAGCATAGTTAGATGGCAGAGACATTTACCAGTTCGGCTATTTTGGCCTTGAATTGTAAATTCACTTTAACTTCTCTCTTTTGTAAATAAGACTGAGTGTCTTTTCTGGAACATCACTAAGATTGGCAATGCTCTCTCTAACTCTTTCATTAAAGGACCACTATAGTGCCAGGAAAACATACTCGTTTTCCTGGCACTATAGTGCCCTGAGGGTGCCCCCACCCTCAGGAACCCCCTCCCGCCCGGCTCTGGAAGGAGGAAAGGGTTAAAAACTTACCTTTTTCCAGCGCTGGGCGGGGAGCTCTCTGCTTCCTCTCCTCCTCCGTTCCTCCTCCTGGGCTGAATGCGCACGCGCGCATTCAGCCTGTCGCATAGGAAAGCATTTACAATGCTTTCCTATGGACGCTTGCGTGCTCTCACTGTGAAAATCACAGTGAGAAGCACGCAAGCGCCTCTAGTGGCTGTCAATGAGACAGCCACTAGAGGAAACAGGGGGAAGGCTTAACCCATTCATAAACATAGCAGTTTCTCTGAAAATGGGTTAACCCTAGAAGGACCTGGCACCCAGACCACTTCATTAAGCTGAAGTGGTCTGGGTGCCTAGAGTGGTCCTTTAACATGGATATTTTTCAAAAGTGAGAATTCAAAGTGAATTTTCAAATTTAAGGACAGAGTAGCCAAATGGAAAACATAACTTCCTAAGAGAATGTTTCCAGTTTGGCTTTGACCTTTAAATTTTAAATTCACCTTCAATTCACCTTAAATTCTCACTGTAGTTAATAAACCTGTTAACAAAAGAGTTAGGGAAAGCATAGCCAATCCTAGCGATCCCTCAGTTAGGGTGTCATGTTAACTATTATACCTTATTTCTAAATGTGTGAACTTTCTTTTATAAAATTGATTATATTTGACAAGTCTCGGGAGATATGGCTGAAGAATCTCTTTTTGGGTCCATTGATCTTGGCAGTAATACAAACATTGGTTCACAATATCACAATCAATGTTTACCTTTGCAGGAGGTGGTACCCTGTCCTTCTGCTTTAAATCACGGTTTCTAAAACAAAGAAACAAAGATAGGAATGTAAGGATTTGTCATAGCTTATATAAGGTTATATTATCCAGGATATCTGTACAAAATGTGTACAATTAAAGAATCTCATAAATGTTTATTAGCCTGGGTGGGGAAGATTACTTATAGTCCTTTTTCTGTTGTGTAGACTATATTCTTCACAGGTAATAGGAGTCAACAAGGTTTTTGTTGCCTCTTTGCACCATAATTGGAAGTCACTTAAATCTTTTTGTCCACAATCTTTTGGATTAGTAGCATCATATCCCACAGCTTCTTACTAATATACGATGTTTAGAGATGAAGAAGGCTCAGCTCAGACAAGCTTTCAACCTATGAGGAATTGAGGTAGGCAGATATATTGTTTTCCTTATTGGTGAGGATGTCTGACGAGGATTGGAATCTGATTCTCCCAGTTCAAGGGACACTAGATTAAAGGGACACTATATTCACCAGAACAACTACAGCTTAATGTAGTTGTCTTGGGAAGTGTAATAGTTGCCTTCAGGCATTTTCAAGTTAAAACTGCCTTTTCAGAGATCAGACAGTGTTTACATTTCCCCTAGGGACAACTTTAAGTGGCCACTCCTTAGATGGCCACTGGAGGGGCTTCCTGGCTCAGGGCTGCACAGTAAGCAGCCCTGCCATTTAGCATCCCCACGCTCTGCATGGAGATGCTGAATTTTCCTCATAGAGATGCATTGAGTCAATGTATCTATATGAAGAGGTTCCTGATTAGCCAAAACGGCATTTGGCCCTGCCCCAGTGCCGATTTTAGACAATCCAATGCTTTCTCTATGGTAAAGCATTGGATTAGCTAAAAATCTGCCATTTCAATTATATCACAAAGGGGGCAGAGCTGGAAATAGGGTGAGTTTTATACTTTTATAGTGGCGCTAATGGGGGGAGGGGGGGGGGTTGGGCCACCTATATGGTGGGTTTAGCACTATAGGGTCAGGAATACATGTTTGTGTTCCTGACCCTATAGTAATCCTTTAATATGCAGTTATCAGTCACAGAAACCTATGATAAAAGTAACCCAATAACAGAGTACCAAATGTTGACTGACAGAGGCTTAAGGCAAATGTGGCACATTGTACTGGATAACAGTTTGAGTACCAAACCCGGTAATAGTTGAGGTGCCATAGGTTAAGCAACATGTGGTACAATATAGTTGGATAGTAGAACTGTTTTAAAGATCATTGAATTATGACTGACAGACATTTAATCATTGGTTTCTATTAAGGTTGTTTTGTTTATGTTGGCTTCTGTTGAAATTGTGTTTTCATTGGCCCTCTCATAACAAAATTCTAAAGGTCCTCACCTCTCCTGTTCCTTATGGCTTTCGAAAAAGTGCATCTGCCTATCATTGCTGGAGGAGTCTGGACCTTCACGTGTTCGATGAATACTGCAACAAAGAAAATGTCTGTTTATATCATATCTATAAAACAATGAAATAATCTTGCTGTGAAATACAGATGATCTTATCTGGACTAACTAAAAACAAACAGATATTAAGAGGTGTTTACTAAGGGAATTACAACTTAAAGGACTACTAATGAAGAAGCCTGGGTGCAGTGATCATGTAGTTTTAATCCTGCAATGTAAAACAGTGCAGTATTGTAGAATCTGCAATGTTTTGGTATTAGGAATACAAATATATATTCCTAACAGTAAAGTGTCCCTCTGCCCCAACGCCCACCCTTCAGGCCTTCTTTTACTTACCAAATTCCAGTGCTGATATCCCTTGTAGCTAGGCCAACCTCCTCCTCCATCGACGTCAGCCAATGAGGGGATTTAATGTGCATGTATGGAGAGCCGCAAGCATATTCAACAAAGTAGAGCAGTACTGAAAGGAACACTATAGTCACCTAAATTACTTTAGCTAAATAAAGTAGTTTTAGTGTATAGATCATTCCCTTGCAATTTCACTGCTCAATTCACTGTCATTTAGGAGTTAAATCACTTTCTGTTTATGCAGCCCTAGCCACACCTCCCCTGGCTATGATTGACAGAGCCTGCATGAAAGAAAATTTGGTTTCACTTTCAAACAGATGTAATTTACCTTAAATAATTGTATCTCAATCTCTAAATTGAACTTTAATCAGATACAGGAGGCTCTTGCAGGGTCTAGCAAGCTATTAACATAGCAGGGAATAAGAACATTTTAATTAAACAGAACTTGCAATAAAGAAAGCCTAAATAGGGCTCTCTTTACAGGAAGTGTTTATGGAAGGCTGTGCAAGTATCATGCAGGGAGGTGTGACTGGGGTTCATAAACAAAGCGATTTAACTCCTAAATGGCAGATGATTGAGCAGTGAGCCTGCAGGGGCATGTTCTATACACCAAAACTATTTCATTAAGCTAAAGTTGTTCAGGTGACTATAGTGTTCATTTAATGCTTTCCTATGGAGTTTTAGAAGACTACTGGAAGCATGAGGAGGTCCAGCATTGTTTTATGGAGTCAAACTGATACAGCAGGATGTGCCTCTCATGAGTGGCTGGTAGACAGCCACTAGAAGAAGTCTTAGCACTGCAATATGAAAATTGCAGTTTCTCAGATTGCAGGGTTAAGGGGAACAGAGACAGTGCACCCAGACAACTTCAATGAGATGAAGTTGTCTGGGTGCCTATTGTGTACCTTTAAATACACACCTCTAGTAGTTGTCATCTTGAAGTGCTTCCTCCTGCAGTAATACTTGACAGTCCTGACAGAGAATTTGATTGGAGGAGTGTGGCATGTTGCCGCACATGCATATTTCCAATCCATTGCATCTCTATGAAAATCAATGGATTGGAGCAGATCTTGCAATATGTCAGCAAACATGACATCTTCAAAGGTGGTGAAGGCAGTTACAGCAGAGTAGTCCTGGCACCAGAAACAAGGTGAGTAAAAGTTAGTTAACTTCATTTTTTTACCGAAGGGTTTGGTCAGATTTTTTTTGCTATGTGGGTAGATAGAAGAGAGTATATAGCTAAAAGGGTTACAATGCCAAGATGGTTCTTCACTCTCTTAACTCCGTAAACTGTTCAGATTCTACAAGAATAAAGCCTCCAAAGAACACTTGTGTCTAAGACAAAGTCATCGCCACATGACACTCCAGGTTTTCTCAGGAGCATATTCAATTGTAGAAAATTCTTCTAAAGTGTTTTTTTATTTGTGAATTTTCAAACCAACTTGTAATATGAGTAAGCACAACTAAGCATAAATGAAAGAAGGAAGATAGCTCATTCGCAAAACTGAACCATTACCAGACATTTCAGCTCACATAATCTGTAGGTGGTTACAAATGTATGAATCTCGTATTACATTGCTACCTTAATGGTATTATACGTGATTTTACTTTCCAATTATATGTAACTATAGTAATTTTATTTGAATAGCTGAGTTGCTTGTATTTAGTGATGGTTCTTCACGCCTTCAACCCAATAAACATTTAGATGAAACGTGCAGTGGACGTATAAATAAAGCCTCCAAAGAACACTTGTGTCCAAGACAAAGTCATCACATCGTGATGACTTTAGGTTTTCCCAGAAGCATATGCAATCTCAGAAAATTATTTGAAAGTGTTTATTTGTGAATATTCAAGCCAATTTATGGTATGTGTAAGCATGAGTAAGCATATTTGAAAGAAGGAAGATAGGTCATTCGCAAAACTGAACCATACTAGACAATTCTGCTCACATAATCTGTAGGTGCTTACAATGGTATTAATCTCATATTGCATTGCTACTTTAATGGTATTATATGCAATTTTACATTCCAATTATATATTTAACCATGGTAACTTTAATCGAATAGCTGAGTTGCTTGTAGTAAGTGACGGTGCTTCACTCCCTCAACCCAGTAAACGTTTAGATGAGACGTGCAGTGGATGTAAGAATAAAGCATCCAAACAACACTTGTGTCCAAGACAAAGTTATCGCTATGTGAGACTCCAGGTTTTCTCAGGAGCATATGCAATCTCAGAAAATTATTTGAAAGTGTTTATTTGTGAATTTTCAAGCCAACTTATAGTATGAGTAAGCACAAGTAAGCATAAACAAAAGAGGGACGATAGGTCATCTGCAAAACTGAACCATTACCAGACCTTTCAACTCACATAATCTGTAGATGCTTACAATGGTATTAATCTTATATTACATTGTTTCTTTAATGATATTATATGCAATGTTACTTTCCAATTATATGTAACTCTAGTAACTTTATTTGAATAGCTGAGTTGCTTGTATTTAGTGATGGTTCTTCACTCCCTCAACCCAGTAAACATTTAGATGAGACGTGCAGTGGACGTAAGAATAAAGCCTCCAAAGAACACTTGTGTCCAAGACAAAGTCATCGCCATGTTAGACTTCAGGTTTTCTCAGGAGCATATGCAATCTCAGAAAATTCTTCTAAAGTGTTTTTTATTTGTGAATTTTCCAGCCAACCTATGGTATGAGTAAGCATGAGTAAGCATAAACAAAAGAGGGAATATAGGTCATTTGCAATGCTGAACCATTACCAGACATTTCAGCTCACATAATCTGTAGGTGCTTACAAATGTATGAATCTCATATTACATTGCTACTTTAATGGTATTATATGCAATTTTACATTCCAATTATATATTTAACCATGGTAACTTTAATCGAATAGCTGAGTTGCTTGTATTTAGTGACGGTGCTTCACTCCCTCAACCCTGTAAACGTTTAGATGAGACGTGCAGTGGACGTAAGAATAAAGCTTCTAAAGAACACTTGTGTCCAAGACAAAGTTATCACCACGTGAGACTCCAGGTTTTCTCAGGAGCATATGCAATCTCAGAAAATTCTTCTAAAGTATTTTGTATTTGTGAATTTTCCAGCCAACTTATGGTATGAGTAAGCATGACAAAGCTTAAGGAAAGAAGGAATATAGGTCATTCGCAAAACGGAACCATTACAAGACAATTCCGCTCACATAATCTGTAGGTGCTTACAAATGTATGAATCTCGTATTACATTGCTACTTTAATGGTATTATATGCGATTTTACTTTCCGAATATATATGTAACCATGGTAACTTTAATCGAATAGCTGAGTTGCTTGTATTTCGTGTCGGTGCTTCAATCCCTCAACCCAGTAAACGCTTAGATAAGACATGCAGTGGACATAAGAATAAAGCCTCCAAAGAACACTGATGTCCAAGACAAAGTCATCGCCACGTGAGACTCCAGGTTTTCTCAGGAACATATGTAATCTCAGAAAATTCTTCTAAAGTATTTTGTATTTGTGAATTTTCCAGCCAACTTATGGTATGAGTAAGCATGACAAAGCTTAAACGAAAGAAGGAATATAGGTCATTCGCAAAACGGAACCATTACAAGACAATTCTGCTCACATAATCTGTAGGTGCTTACAAATGTATGAATCTCGTATTACATTGCTACTTTAATGGTATTATATGCGATTTTACTTTCCAAATATATGTAACCATGGTAACTTTAATCGAATAGCTGAGTTGCTTGTATTTCGTGTCGGTGCTTCAATCCCTCAACCCAGTAAACGCTTAGATAAGACGTGCAGTGGACGTAAGAATAAAGCCTCCAAAGAACACTGATGTCCAAGACAAAGTCATCGCCACGTGAGACTCCAGGTTTTCTCAGGAGCATATGCAATCTCAGAAAATTCTTCTAAAGTGTTTTCTATTTGTGAATTTCCCATTCAACTTATAGTATGAGTAAGCATAAACAAAAGAAGGAAGATAGAGGATTCGCAAAATTAAGTCATTACCACACCTTTCAGTTCACATAATCTGTAGGTGCTTACAAATGTATGCATCTCATATTACATTGTTTCTTTAATGGTATCACATGTAATTTTACTTTCCAATTATATGTAACCATGGTAACTTATGTTAAATAGCTAAGTTGGTTTTATTTAATGTCACATGTTTTGCTTTGGAATTTAAGCATGAGTGGTTGTTTTGATTTAAGTTTGAGAAAGGCTCATTGTGAGTTGAAATATCATCTTGCTGGATTTGCAAAAAATAACATTTAAAGAATAATACTCTTGTGCCTGGTTGCCTGTAACTTTTGCTGCGTTTCATGGTTTTCCACATGTATAGTGGCATATTCCCCATTGCGTTACATGAGTGGTCAATGCCTGTGTTCACTGAATAACTACAGACCTTTTGGTACTGGCCATTTGTTGGTTGGGAAAGAATCTGTGACACTGCACAACTAAATCGCCTTTTATTTGTGCCACTAAATGCATGGTGCAAACAAACAGTGCATATTTAGGTCACACAGGAATGTGGATGCAAAATGAGGACATTAGTTCCCCATTATTTTATCTCAAGGTAATACTGTGGGATACGGATTCTTTGGATTTGGATTCTGTTTGTGTAGTCCCTCGTATCTTTGCTTTGACAAAAAAAGGGAAACTATAACTTTCTAGAAGCATGACTGCTGATTAAAAATAAGATATCGCTGACCTCGTAGCAAAACCACTTAAGGGCACAGAGCACACTTCTACAGTACGTACCCAATGCTTGCACAGCAGAGCAATCATGTGGGTGAGTAGAACTACCTAATTCTCGAAAGGGGAGCTGAAATGGGTGTGCCAATGATGCATCTGACTTCACTGGGAATGTGGTGAGGGGCCAAAAAGTGGGTACTATTTAACAACACAAAAACAAACTACATACTCCATAGTAGATGAATTTAAAAAAAAATAGAAGTTCTCTGTGCATGACAATGATCAACACAACAGCAATTCCGTTGCCAGCTTCTCTAACGGAGAAAAATATCGAATTGCATTTTCTACATAGGATACTGATTTGACACTAGAAATTAGCAAAGTATAAAAAAAACTCACAATCTGTTGAGGGTTTATATCAGTGCTTCCTTTAAAAAGATAGTAGAGAAAGTGACAGTGTACATGAACTTGGTCAGAATATTGTAGTTGCACGTGGCAGGGATCTGGAAGGGACAGCAGGAATCATTACTGTGACATTCGGAACTCTGGTGCAATGAACAGAGACAGACTTCTGTCTTTGAACTACATGAAACCTTTCTTGGGAGGACGAAGGTTAGCAGAGCAAGATATACAATGGTGGAAAAAGGAGGAGAGAGAGACAGAAACTGGCAAAAATAATTAAGCTGAGGGAGGAGGGGAGAAGCCAAACACCAAAGTCTTTAATGTGTTATTTGCAGATTATCTGAACCTATGTGGTTACTACACAATGGATTAGCAAATATATACACAGAGTAAAGCAGGGAGAAGCCATCAATAAAGACACAGTACATGTGAAAACAAAACATTCCTAGTTGAGATTGGCCCTAAGATAATGTTTGTATGAGTAGTTTTATCCATGAGCACACATAATCAGTTTAATGTTAACAGTCTTCAAAGCTTCCTATACAAACTGCAATTAGCAGTTTACCTGGCTTAACACGGCCACAATGCCTATTCACAATACAGTGACAGGGCAAAGCATATATATATATATTTATAGGCATATAGATATCAGTGTTGATGTATCAATACACATCCTTATCTGTATTTGTACTTCCCATTGCTTATCTGTTTGCTTACCTTTTTATTTTCCAAAAGGCAAGCAAGGTTCCTCTTCTGTATCACAGAAAAAACAGCAAATGTATTTATCCAAATCATGATAAGCTGTATTTATGCACACGTTGCTTTAGAAAAGAACATGCTGAACCCCATTTGATAAATTATTTATTTTATACAATATGTCCCTGAGAACCAGGATGACAGAGACATATCTTCGATTTTTAGACATGGTCTCCCAATTAGGACAGATCCACATTCGATTATGCTTACTCAATGGCTATTAAACATATAATTCTTGGAAATTATCAAAAGTGTGGCTACACTTTTGATAAAGTCTCTGGAGAGGCGAAACGCGTCAAGTGGGACTCATTTTTTACCCTATTATTATTTTACTAGTGTATCTTTTATGTTTTTTACAATAAATAGTTACTTTTTATAGAATAAATTTTTTTGTATCCAGTTCTATATCCTGATTGCTACCTGGTTCTGCTCTAAAGATTGTAAGTAAATAACCTTTTTATATTTAAACTTACAGTACATACCACACTATCAGAGTTTCTCTATGCTCTTTATTTTTACATATTCCATCTACACCTGTATTTGCATTTGGAAGACCAGCATCATCTACACCAGCTCATATCCTTAGACGGGGATTATACCGTCCATGCGCTACAAAGCAGAGCTCTTGTATAGCTCCTCTAAATGTGAGTGGCTCTCCTACAGCGATTAATTTAATATTTTTTCAAAAATTGTATTGCACTATTATTGTCTGTTTTTTATTCTGAGGTTTTCAATCAGCCCTCTTCACTACAGCTGTATGTGCGTATAATTCTGGGCGCAGTATACTCTTTACTCTTTTTGCTTTTTTGTGACACGAGGTTTTGAGAATCCTCTTATTGTATAAGCCCCCACTTATTTGTTGTGTTATAGAGAGCGCCTATTTCTTTCTGTTTCTATATGTAAAGTATACACCAATTAAGAGAGGTGACTGTAATGGGGAAATTTGGAAACACTAAGATGCGGATTGCAGTAGTTAAGGCAAGAGAGGATAAAAGCATGGACCAGCACCGTAGCAATGTCTGGCAAAAATACAGGCTGATGCATGCTATGTTTTTGAGATAGAAGGTGCAGGATTTGTCAATGAAATGTGATACATAATGGGGGCTGTGCAATAGCAAGTGGGTAAGTACCAGTGACTCAACTTGGGATGGTTAATAACGTGTCATGTCACCTTTGCGCTAACACACGCCATGTTAACTGGCAGCCATACTATCTAGTCCAGGCATAGGCAAGCTTCGGCACTCCAGATGTTTTGGACTACACCTCCCATGATGCTTTGCCAGCAGTATGGGTGTAAGAGCATTATGGTGGATGTAGTCCACAGCATCTGGAGTGCCAAAGGTTGCCTACCCCTGATTCTAGTCAATTATGGATGAATTTTCGCAGAGGTGTTTAGATTTATGCTGAACTTTTTTGGAGTACTTTTCTCTGGTGTCCACAGGAGTGCAACAACATAGAAAGAACGTTATCTAAGAACATATGAGTTCTCTGAATCTAAAAGTACATTCTTAAATATTTCACTTATACATTTTTTATTTTTGCTTCATGGCATCCATGGAATTAAATACATCAACAGAAATGTAAAGCATAAACAAATTTGTAAATTTGCAAGTTAATACTCTTTTGCATTTAGATCACTGATTCATTATTTGTGGCTACTTTTTTGTTGATGTTTGTTGTATTATTGGAAAATAAATAAATTTCTGAAAGTCTCAAATCTTGCCTTTCTGGCCAATAAGTTTGGCCATATTTAGCAGCTGCTCCACCACCGAGTTAATATAAATTACATTTAATATGAATATGAAGAAATGTGGTTAATGACATTTACTGTCCACACAGGAAAAGTTGTGCCGAGCAGCAACTTAATCCACAGAAGGGTTAATGTTGAGCAGCAATTATGCAAATGAAACCTGGTAACCGACTTTGGGGTCAAAGGAGGGGTATATAGGCCCAGTTCTCATCCTGCTCAGTGCCCTGTTGTGGTTTCCCTTGTGGTTGTCTGAGAGCGTGTTCCTGTTATTAGTTTTCTACCTGGTTTTTGACTTTGGCTTTGTTTATTTACTTCTCTATATTCTGGTATCCTGACTTTCCTCATCGCTGCTTCCCTTTCTGTTTTCCCTGACCTCGGCTAGTATTTTTGACTATTCTATGTACGTTAAATCCGGCCATTCTAAGGACCAGTAATACGTTACTTATTTGTCATCCGTGCTATACAGTTCTACATGCTGGATCAAACAGTAATCCTGACAGAGGGTAGTGGATGCATGGAATAGCCTTCCAGTTGAAGTGGTTGAGGTTAACACAGTAAAGTTGTTTAAGCATACGTGGGATAGGCATAAGGTTATCCTAACTATAAGATAAGGCCAGGGGCTAATAATAGTATTTCGAAAATTGGGCAGACTAGATGGGCCAAATGGTTCTTATCTGCCGTCACATTATATGTTTCTATGTACAGTATTGCACTATTTTATTAGGGTGTTTGTTTTTTTTACTTTTTGAGATATAAATAAAATCATCCTCAATGTACTTTCACAAATGACAACTTGAGCAAACAATCTTGTATTCAAAAAATGTACAGATTGTCCTTTGAGGGACACTCACTCAACCACTCTGGAGTTTCCCAGGTCTAAAAACAAAATTATTGAGCAAGGCTAATTTTCTATGTAGTCCATGTTCATTACTCAGGTGTGAAGAATCTGGAAGTGTAACCTGACTACAAAAACGAGATATCAAATACCAGAGTGACATGTTTGTTTATAGGTGTGTGGGCCAACACCATATCTCTCAAGGCTAGAAGGTATGAAATGCAGAAGTAAGGGCTTGCAAGTAACACAGTGTTTATTTATGATAAGCATCTTTCTAAAATTGCCCCTGTACAGGGTTAACCCCTACACTGCCCATATAGAATCAGTATATGATTCAGTGATCAGCATGCTAATTTATTGGGTAAAAGCACATACAAGGGGAACATTTCTACCTATACATGACTCTTTATCAACTCTGACCAAGACCCTGGTGTTGGTGTAAATGTTGTCATGGCTTGACAAAGACCTTTTGTGTGGGTAGAAATTATGCCCTTGTGTGCTGTCCAATAAACTGAAGTGCTAATCATTATTTTAGTGTTCGACCCTTTTCGTGGACTTCCGGTGGGTTTTGGCAAGACCAGGATTAATCCTGATATTTATGTTTAAAAATATTTAAATATAAAAAATTTCATGGGAGTCTAGCTACTGAACAGTGCAGTCGCATGGCACGCAAGCTCCTGCATTTTTGAGCCCAAATTCACCAATTGGGACCGAGAGAACCGATATTTGGCAGCACATCAGGACCTGAGCACGACAAGAGGACATGATGGTCCGCAAAACTAAAAAATTAAGGCCGGACAAACCAAGCAAGGGGCCAAACATAGCAGAACTCCTGCGGCAGACCCGCGAAGCTGCTAAGCCCAAAATGGCCGACTACCACGAAATCTACTCCGAGCTGTCTGACGACTTCTCATCAGGTGGTGAAGAGGCCGACCTGCCTCCGGTGCAGAGATTGATCCCGGCGCCTAAATTATGGACACCTCACCCGTGACAGGTGCCTGCACAAAACAAATCACAGCACTGCAGCAGGAGGTCAAGGATCTCCAATGATAGAACGAGGTGCATGACCGCCATTTTGCATCCCGGAAAGCATCCCAACGACAGAGATGCCACACTTATTGAGATGTCTCTTCGTGGCCTTGCTAACACCGAAACAAGCTAGAAACATCAACCTGGACGGCTTCTTCCGAACCCCGAAACCGGCTAAAGCACCGACCGTGGTGCCAGGGATCTCATCCTGCGCTTCCAACTGTCCTTGTCCTTTTTTTGCAGATCTCACTGGAGGCACACTTGCCTGGCGGCAGGCGTTCAAGCCTTTTACCACACTCCTACAACAGAACGGACTAAGCTACATATGGCACCAGGCCAGAACGCTGCAAGTTATTCAAGGGGACAACAAACATGAAGTCCAAGACCTACAAGAAGCGGCAACCTTGCTGCCCACTTCGGGACTGCCACAGGACTCCTTCCACGCAACTGAAACCAAGCAAACCAACTCACCAATGGAACACCCCCTTCATCCCACTCAGAACCAGGGACACTCACAACGCTTCAGGGACTACATGAGACATGATCACCAAAATGTCGTAGAGTACTGGGATACCCCGGTTGTTTTAACTTGTTTTAACATGTTTTGACGTGTCCTTAACTTTCCAAGTTTAACAGTTTTGCTCCCATAAAATGCAGGTATAACTACATTTAATGTTTCTATGTACAGTATTGCACTATTTTATTAGGGTGTTTGTTTTTTTACTTTTTGAGATATAAAAAAAATCATCCTCAATGTACTTTCACAAATGACAACTTGAACAAACAATCTTGTATTCAAAAAATGTACAGATTGTCCTTTGAGGGACACTCACTCAACCACTCTGGAGTTTCCCAGGTCTAAAAACAAAATTATTGAGCAAGGCTAATTTTCTATGTAGTCCATGTTCATTACTCAGGTGTGAAGAATCTGGAAGTGTAACCTGACTACAAAAACGAAATATCAAATACCAGAGTGACATGTTTGTTTATAGGTGTGTGGGCCAACACCATATCTCTCAAGGCTAGAAGGTATGAAATGCAGAAGTAAGGGCTTGCAAGTAACACAGTGTTTATTTATGATAAGCATCTTTCTAAAATTGCCCCTGTACAGGGTTAACCCCTACACTGCCCATATAGAATCAGTATATGATTCAGTGATCAGCATGCTAATTTATTGGGTAAAAGCACATACAAGGGGAACATTTCTACCTATACATGACTCTTTATCAACTCTGACCAAGACCCTGGTGTTGGTGTAAATGTTGTCATGGCTTGACAAAGACCTTTTGTGTGGGTAGAAATTATGCCCTTGTGTGCTGTCCAATAAACTGAAGTGCTAATCATTATTTTAGTGTTCGACCCTTTTCGTGGACTTCCGGTGGGTTTTGGCAAGACCAGGATTAATCCTGCACCCTTTACCTGAAGAAAACTTTATTTATTTTTCGTGGACCTGTTAGTGTGTGCTGGCTCTTTTTTTGTGTGTGTATTAAAACACTGCTGATATTTAAGAGCCACACTGGAAGTGAGGCTGGAATTTGCAGTTTATCTATACATCTACCCTGTTACTATGTATAAGTAAACTTCAGTCAAATGTAAAGAAACCCAGTGACCCATTTTCATAATTAAAAATCACATAAAATTTGTACTTGAGTATTTTTGGATAAGATGTTTTTAAATGATTTTATAATTTTAGATAAACTATTAAAATGATATTTATGTTTAAAAATATTTAAATATAAAAAATTTCATGGGAGTCTAGCTACTGAACAGTGCAGTCGCATGGCACGCAAGCTCCTGCATTTTTGAGCCCAAATTCACCAATTGGGACCGAGAGAACCGATATTTGGCAGCACATCAGGACCTGAGCACAAGAGGACATGATGGTCCGCAAAACTAAAAAATTAAGGCCGGACAAACCAAACAAGGGGCCAAACATAGCAGAACTCCTGCGGCAGACCCGCGAAGCTGCTAGGCCCAAAATGGCCGACTACCACGAAGTCTACTCCGAGCTGTCTGACGACTTCTCATCAGGTGGTGAAGAGGCCGACCTGCCTCCGGTGCAGAGATCGATCCCGGCGCCTAAATTATGGACACCTCACCTGTGACAGGTGCCTGCACAAAACAAATCACAGCACTGCAGCAGGAGGTCAAGGATCTCCAACGATAGAACGAGGCGCATGACCGCCGTTTTGCATCCCGGAAAGCATCCCAACGACAGAGATGCCACACTTATTGAGATGTCTCTTCGTGGCCTTGCTAACACCGAAACAAACTAGAAACATCAACCTGGACGGCTTCTTCCGAACCCCGAAACCGGCTAAAGCACCGACCGTGGTGCCAGGGATCTCATCCTGCGCTTCCAGGGATCTCACTGGAGGCATACTTGCCTGGTGGCAGGCGCTCAAGCCTTTTACCACACTCCTACAACAGAACGAACTAAGCTACAGATGGCACCAGGCCAGAACGCTGCAAGTTATTCAAGGGGACAACAAACATGAAGTCCAAGACCTACAAGAAGCGGCAACCTTGCTGCCCACTTCGAGACTGCCACAGGACTCCTTCCACGCAACTGAAACCAAGCAAACCAACTCACCAATGGAACACCCCCTTCATCCCACTCAGAACCAGGGACACTCACAACGCTTCAGGGACTACCTGAGACATGATCACCAAAATGTCATAGAGTACTGAAACTGCTATGTTTATTAAAAAATTGGTTAACCCTAGAAGAACCTGGCACCCAGACCACTTCATTAAGCTGAAGTGGTCTGGGTGCCTAGAGTGGTCTTTTAATATTGACGAGGAACATAAGCTGTTTGAGCAAATTGAGAAAGCTGCAAATCTGCGTAACACTTAAATTATTGGAGATTTTAATTACCCGGACATAAATTGGGACAGAGAGACTAGTAGCTCAGCAAAGGGAATTAGGTTTTTAAACTTGTTAAATGACACCTTCATGTCACAACTTGTACAAGCACCAACTAGAATGGAGCTTGTCTGGACCTGGATTTAACAAACAATGTTGATCTTTTGACCAACATTCAAGTAGGTGAGCACTTGGGAAATAGTGATCACAATATAGTGTCCTTTGAAATAAACTCAAAAAAACAAAAGCACAAGGGAAGAATTCCTTTGCAGATGACACAAAACTCTGTAAAAAAAATACAATGTGAGCAAGATATTACTTTGCTGCAGAGGGATTTAGACAGACTAGGGGACTGGGCACTCAAATGGCAGATGAAATTTAATGTTGAAAAATGCAAAGTTAAAGAATACACAAGCAACGTATACCCTTAATGGAAGCGAATTAGGGATAACAACGCACGAAAAGGACTTGGGAATTGTTATAGACAATAAACTATACAACAATGTGCAATGTCAATCTGCAGTGGCCAAGGCCAGTAAGGTATTGTCATGCATGAAAAAGGGCATTCATTCTCGGGACGAGAATATCACTTTGCCTCTTTATAAATCACTGGTAAGACCACATATTGAATATACTGTGCAATTTTGGGAACCTGTTCTAAAGAAGGATATTATGGCACTAGAAAAAAAGCAGAGGCGGGCTACAAAATTAATAAAAGGAATGGAACATATCAGCTATGAAGAAAGGTTAACAAATTTAAACCTACTTAGTTTAGAAAAACGTCGCCTGAGAGGGGGTTTATGATAACATTATACAAATATATTCGGGGCCAATACAAACCATTGTGTGGAAATCTATTCACAAACCGGACTTTACATAGGACACGAGGCCATGCATTTAGACTGAAAGAAAGAAGATTTCGTCTAAGGCAAAGGAAAGTTTTTTTTACTGTAAGAACAATAAGGATGTGGAATTCCCTGCCTGAAGAAGTGGTTTTATCAGAGTCCATACAGATGTTCAAACAGCTACTAGATGCATACTTGCAAAAAACAGAATATTCAAGGATATAATCTTTCAATGTAGGGTAATAACTGCTTGATCCAAGGATAAATCTGACTGCCATTCTGGGGTCAAGAAGGATTTTGTTTCCTACTTCTTGCAAAATTGTGCTTCAATCTAGGTTTTTTGCCTTCTTTTGGATCAACAGCAAAAAACAAATGTGAGGAAGGCTGAACTTGATGGACGCAAGTCTCTTTTCATCTATGTAACTATGTAATGTATGTACCGGCGAACTGAACCTAGCCTACTACTCTAACTCATCACATACCCCATCTATCTTCATATAGTCCTGCATGCAAGCTATGCCAAACTACAATGTTTTACTAGTTTAGACAACATTCATGACTTAGCATAGTATTTAGCAGCTAATCGCTCATCTACTTTAGGATATAATCTTTCAATGTAGGGTAATAACTGCTTGATCCAAGGATAAATCTGACTGCCATTCTGGGGTCAAGAAGCAATTTTTTTCCTAGTTCTTGCAAAATTGTGCTTCAATCTAGGTTTTTTGCCTTCTTTTGGATCAACAACAAAAAACAAATGTGAGGAAGGCTGAACTTGATGGACGCAAGTCTCTTTTCATCTATGTAACTATGTAATGTATGTACCGGCGAACTGAACCTAGCCTACTACTCTAACTCATCACATACCGCCATCTATCTTCATATAGCCCTGCCTGCAAGCTATGCCAAACTACAATGTTTTACTAGTTTAGACAACATTCATGACTTAGCATAGTATTTAGCAGCTAATTCGTTCACTTGCTTCTAACAAAATGAAAAGAAAAATGTGCTTGCAATCTGGACTATTATTGTTGAAAATTAATGTGAGGAATGCCGTTGGGGTACCTTGCGCATGTTGTCACATCTCTATCCACGACAAAAATAAAGAATATTAAAAAAAATGTTATAATTAAAAAAAATCTATCTACATCAAAAATAATAATAATTAAAAAAAAAATCTAATTATTAAATTATTTTAAACATTTATGCAAAAATAATAAATCATTTTAAAAGCTTATCCAGAAATACCGGGTAGAACAAAATTCAGAATAGGATTTGACAGGCAAATAACTTCGTTGTTAGTAGCTAAATGTTTTTGGTGCAGGTACATATCATAACTAAGTCTTGGGAGACTCATCATGGGCAAATTCATGAAGGATCAACAAGTAAAAATAGCAAAATTTTTGTTTTAAAATGGCAGGTCCATTATCTTGCTGTAAAGAAAAAAATCATGCTGAAATGTGATTTTAACAAGATCGGGCTATAGCCCAGGTAGCCAGAGCCACAATGGACCTCTTAAACAATTGTTCAGCAAGTGGATAATTTCAAATTCGATCACTAGAGCCTCAAACATGAACTAATGTTATGAGCAATGCAATCGAAAGAGCCTAACTTTGCAAGGTGGCAAATGGAGCTCATTTAAAAGATGTCATCTTCTGTATCCAGTGAAAGAAATCTCCATACATTAAGCATTCATTGTATATAATATCATTAAAATTGGTTCACTAATTAAAAAAAAAAAATGTACTCCTCAAAACCTACTCTGAATTTTGGCCCACCGTGTATTAAATTAAGGCCAATGTTAGATAAATTTATTGGTGTTTAAAGATACCTAAAACAACAACAACATTATTTAAAAATGTGCACAGCTTTAAAGATATATTGGAGATATATGTATAAGATAACTCACCTTGGTCACTATCATGCTGGACGCTGTCCAGTTTTGAAAAATAAATAAATAAAATGGCCAAATTAAATTTTCCCCTCAGCTTGTGTTTCCAACAGAAAATGAATTGATGAATGCAAATTCTACTGTATTTGCATGTGCAGTCATGTTGGAATTGCTTGAATGAAATTCAAACCTGTAATATTTTTTAATTATTTAAAATAAAATATAATAATATTATAGCATTGGCCTGTATAAAACAAAATTAAAACCACCCACCTAATATGGTTTAGGTCCCCCAAGTGCTGTGAAAAGAGCTCTGATGCGTTAAGGCATGGACTCCACAAGACTTCAGCATTTGGCACCAAGACATTAGCAACATATCCTTTAAAATGATACTACAGGCATCAAAACAACTTCCGCTTAATGAAGCAGTTTTTGTGTATGGATCATGTCCCTGCAGTCTCACTTCAATAACATTTGTTTGCATTTATGCAGTCCTAGCCACACCACCCCTGACTGTGACTCACACAGCAGCCTGCATGAAAAAAAATTGTTTCATTTTCAAGCAGATGTAAAGTTACTTTAGACATTTTTAGCTCCTGCTCAGTGAAGTGATCTTTAATCACACACAGGTTCCTGCAGGCAGTGGCAGGTTATTAACAAAGCAGGAGATTAAAAAAATTTAATTAAACAGAATATGCAATAAAGGAAGTTTAAGCTTTAGATGTCTCTTTACAGGAAGTGTTTAGGAAGGGTATGCAAGCCGCATGCAGGCAGGTGTGGTGACTAGGGCTGCGTAAACAAAGTTATTTAACTCCTAAATGGCATAGAATTGAGAAACGAGACTGCAAGTGACATGATCTGTACACAGTTACATAGCTGAAAAGTAGACACGTGCAATTAGTTTCGTTCCAAATATACATTTGTACGAATTTCATGCCATTCGGACATTCGGATGCTTATGAATGTCCGAAGTGCTGAGGTTCCGAAGCACCGAAGTTCCATAGTGACGAAGTTCGGTAGTTTGGAAGTGCCGAAGTTCTGAAATGCCGAAGTGATTCGGATTTCTGAAAAGTGGCAAAACAAGAGAGGGAGAGGGAAAATGACGTGAATGATGACAGGAATCTTGACCAATAAGTTAATTCCTTTTGTGCAATGTAATGATTGCTTGCCAAATCTGGTTTCACTATTCCCTGTCCAATGAAATGAGCAAGCTTTTGTGATTGATGTTAGAGGACAGCCAATTAATGGTGATTTTTTTTCACTGACACTTGGCCAATGAAGGCATACAGAGTCACTGAGGTTAGATAGTATATAAATCAGGCTGTCAGGGTGTTGGCTTGCATTCATGTGACCTGACTAGATGTGATAGCACAAGAGAAGAGACTGAGAGAGATAAAGTACATTACATTTATTGTACTTTACTTGTTGCAAACTTGGGGAGCCACATTGCTTTTAAGTGTGTGTTTCAGGGAGAGAGAGTGAGAGTTTTGCCTTTTTTCTTCTTCTGCATCTTGTTTCATTTTTTGAAGGGGGGGGGGGGTTGTGAGAGAGTGTGTGGCTGTGCAAGCCAGGTAGTCCGATTGCCAGGGTGTCTCATTGCTGCACTGTGATTTTACTGCAGTGATTAATTTTGTGTTTTTTAGCTGTTGCAAGGTAGCCTGATTGCCAGGGTGTCTCTCTGCTACACTGTGATTTTGCTACAGTGATTAATTTTGTGTTTTTTAGTTTTCTGTGATTTAATTTACATAAAAATGTAATAAAACAAAAGAAACCATAATGGATCGTCCATGTCCTCCTCACATTCTCCCCTCAAGCAAAGTGACTGAGGAAACTGGTAGCCGTCATGTTGCTGCTGGTAGTACCATTACTAGTTCCTCCACCAGGACTAGTGTTAAGATTCGGAAGTTCCTAAGTGCCAAACCGAATGCCATTGGTCCGAACTGCCGAAGCAGACACATTTTTTTACTTACCCGACTTTCCGAAACTAACCAAATTTTTCGCCCATGCACATACCGACCGAAATGAGACATGAGTCCATCAGGTTTAGTCTTTCTCACATCTGTTTTCCAATGGGATGAAAGGCTGTGTTTCCCAAACCATTCTTTATATTTTTAATGTGTTCCTGCAGTATATATCCTAAGGCACAGGAGCATACAATAAGGTGATAAGTTAGAGGTGATAAGTTGTTTTATCGAAAACTTCTCCTGTTTATTTTGTGGATTATTAAACCTTGTTATGTGTCTTTTGCATGCCCCACCCATACCACAACCATAAATTCCCTTTGATTCTTTAAAAAAATCTCTGTCGGTTTTCCTTGTCCTAATATGATTTTGTATTAGGTTGTCTCTTAGTTTTGGTAACCTCCTGTCGGGGAGTATCTTATTTAGAACATTTCCATTTTTAAAAATAGGCCAATCTTTATTAAGGTGAGTAATACTTGTTTGTTTATAATCTGCCGCACTTTGGTACAAACATACTCCACCAAGGGATCTACTGGTTTCTCACAAGTTTTTATTCCACATATGTCATTTGAGCAGACAGAAGAGGGGATTGTGTTACCAAATACACTCCTGCATATATGATCTGAGCCTGTCCTGGAAGGCTCATTTCCATGTGAGTTGGACCATTGCACATTAATTGTATGTTCAAGCACCCTACGATTTTACACTATTAGTTTTTGTGTTTATACTCCTTTTTCCCCAGAGCTATTTCCCTGTCCCTGACCAAGGGTAGGTGTTATGTAAAAAAAACAACAGTTTGAAGCACTTCCAATTTTGCAACTAACTAGGAATAAATTAATTCCTTCTTGAGCCCGTAATGGCAGTCAGATCTCTCCTTGGATCAAGAAGCTATTACCCAACAAATTAAAAATGAGATCTCTGAATATTATGTTTTTGCAAGTATTCATCCAAATGCTGTTTCATTATGCTAAACTTGGATTGATGCATATAGTGTCCCTTTAAGTCCTACAAGTTGTGAGTTGGGGCCTCCATGTTGGGGCCTCCATGGATATAACTTGTCCTTCCAGCATGCCCCACAGATGTTCAGTCGGATTGATATTTTGGGAATTTGGAGGCCAATGCAACACTTGAAGTCTTTGCCATGTTCCTCAAACAATTCCTGAACTATTTTTGCAGTGTAGCATGGTGCATTATCCTGCTAAAAAAGAGATCACGCGCATCAGGGAACACCATTGCCATGATGGTATGATGTACATAGTCTGCAACAATCTCTACTTAGGTGGTATTTGTAAAAGTAATATCCACATAAATGCCAGGATCCAAGGTTTCCCAGCAGGCCATTGCCCAAAACACAACACTGCCTCTTCCATCATTTCCCCATGGAAACAATGCACACGTACATGGCCATCCACCTTATCTAAAAAAAGATGTGATTCGTCAGATCAGGCAACCTTCTTCCATTGGTCTATAGTCCAGTTCTGACACATCCCCATTGAAGTAGCTGTAGGCGGTGGAGAGAGGTTATCATGGGCACTCTGACTGGTCAGCAGCTATGCAGCCCCATACGCAGAAAACTGTAATGCACTGTGTGTTCTGACACCTTTCTATCATAGCCAGCACTATGGTTTTCAGCAATTTGAGCTACAGTAGCTCTTCTGCGTGATCAGACCAGACCCTTGGGCACATGCATCAATAAGCCTTGGGCCCCTATGAACCTGATGCTGGTTCACCGGTTGTCCTTTCTTGCACCACTTTTGATAGGTACCAACCACTGCATACTGGGAACACTCCACAAGACTTGCGGTTTTGGGAATGCTCTCACCATCACTTTTTGGCCCCTGTCAAAGTCACTCAGATATTTTTGTATGCCCGTTCTTCCTGCTTTCAGCACATGAAATTTGGGAACTAACTCTTCACTTGCTGCCTGATATATCCCACTCCTTGACAGGTGCCATTGTAACTATATAATCAATAATAATATAATATAATCAATGTTATTCACTTTACCTGTTAGTGGCTTTACTGTTGTTGCTGAACAGTGTACATAAAAGGAAACACATTTTAATTGCATCTTCTGGCTTACCATTGCTTGGTGGAAGGCAACAATGTCCTCTTTGATTACAAGCACAGTTTATCTACTAACAAACGTACAGAACTAGTGAGCGTTTACAAATCATGACCTAATGCGCAAGCACCAGGCATCTTAAAAATGCTCTTAAGCACTGACAGACCAGACAAGTGGTCCTTCTGACCAAAGAGGCTATTAAAAGCCCACCCCCAGGTAGCAATGGTCACTCAGGAAATACACAAACAAAATTATTAATGTTTATGTATTTGTTACAAAATAATGTACAATGTGAGTATTTTACCTATAATCTGTTATTTTTGGTAATAAAAAAATGACAGTGCTTGAAAATGACTGAGCTTGCATTTATGCCTTCCATAACATAAGTGTTAAAATGTAGCTCAGAAGTGTGCACTTTTCTGTTACAAGTGTTAAGGGTAGTGACTCTTGTTCAATTACTTTTTTAATGTGGTGTCATTAAGAGGGTCATGAGAAAGACAAAGAGCTCAAATAGTATTTACATTAAATGGCTTTAGCTATTATAATTCAACAAAATAGCATATGTAAAGGCTTATTCGAATCACCATAACCACGTCAATGTTTTGAAGTGGTCATGGTGTGTGCAGTATGTATGTGCAGTGTTTCTGTATGAAACTCTGTGAGGAAAGTACAGTGTCTCCATGCAGAGCACGTGCAACACTGCCTCAGAAAGAACCTCTAGTGGCCGTCTGACTGACAGCCATTGGAGGTGTCCCTAGAAAGCAATGCAAACACACAATTTTCTCTGAAAAGGCAGTGTTTACATGTAAAATGCCTGCAGGGACATTTTCTACTCACCAGAACAACTAAGCTGTAGTTGGTCTGGTGAATATAGTGTCCTTTTAATTCTGAGCATATTTAATGCAAAGTAGGTCATTCCTTGGGTGAGAGCCATCACCCAACTTAGAGGAAACTCGGCACCCTGTGGAGAACCAGTTAAGAGGGCAAAACATTGCCAACTGGTTTGCCCTATTACCTGGTAATGGTGCCAGGATGCTACTGGTATCATAGCTTTTAGAGTGCGCTCTAGTGGTTATAATGCATAGAGTAATCCTTTCATGCATACCATCAAATTAAAGTAATGATAGCATACCTCCAACATTTCCAACATTTCAAAAGGACAAAAACAATGCAGCACCTTCACGTAAGATACTTGATATATCAGTGTCACACTTTATTATTGGGGTTGTGGATGTGTGGCCAGAGGTGTTGTTCTGAGAAATTTTAGGTGACTTACTAATAATTTATGCAATCTCTTCTTTACAAAGATTGATTTCTAAATACATTACTGTGAAACGCATTGACAAAATCTATATTATACACACTCAGACACACCAGCAATATGGGGCTCATACAAAAGAGGAACATTGGAATAGAAAAGGACCGAGGCATTTGGATGCATAATAGAGTCGGTCTCTTTTAAAAAGGGACACTTGTAAGGTATGTGGTAGCTCATGATAAATCTCCTTATAGCAATATGCTGTGCTCTATAAGAGGGCTGATGATGAACCTACACATGTGCTTATTTGTTTTAATGTTAACCCACACAAAGGCCAAGAAAACACTACGCTGAAAGCACAACATAGGACAATATTTACATGTTGAGCTGTGCAATTGTTTTTAGAATAGGCAATAAACAATGGCATTCCTGTAATGAATTCCTGAAACATGCAAATGCTATCCTCCTTTGACCAGTGCTCCCATCCTGACTGCTTTTGTATCAGGGCACACCTACCCAAAACAAGCTTAGAAAATGTGTCATACACTACAGACAAAGCAAAATACATGTGGTATATAGACAAAAACATTGCTTCTGAGTGCATGCCTTATAAAACTCAGCACATAAGGTACTTGATATGTCAGCGTCATATTAACAAATAACTATTTTGTCTTAATATGTTGTTTTTTTGTTTCTTTAACAAGCCCATTCCTTCATCTAATATCCATTTCTAAAGAAATTTTAAAGTTTTTTTTGTTTTGTTTTTTTTTTTGTTTTTACAAATTCTAATTCCATAAAAACAAGGCTTTACTGACAATATTTATTTTTGAGATCGTACAGGGATGGATATTTGTAGCAAATTGACTTATCTTTCCCATGATTCTCTGCTACACTGAAACTGTATCAATGATAATCTAGAACTGCTGAACGCTGTTGGAGAAAGTCTCACTGTGCGTCTGACTTTCTCCACTATAAATTTATGCTGCGCTCATACAGCTTCCCTCTTTCCTCTGCAAAAGTAAATTACTTCACTACCCTCATAACCACACTCTCCTGCGAACCCAAACAACTATTTCACACATTTAACTCTCTTCTTCGCCCCATTGTTCTTCCTCCACCTACTAACTTGACCCCCTCAGACTTTGTAACTCACTTCACTGACAAGATCTCTATCTCGCTACTGCCTTTTGCGTCCAAGATCCTTGAAAGAGTTGTGTATGCGAGATTGATAGACTTCCTCGAGTCAAACTCTCTGCTAGACCTGCTTTAGTCTGGTTTCAGTGCTAAGAACTCTGTGGAAACGGCACTGACCAAAGTATCTATTGATCTACTCGCTGCAAAATCTCATGGTCACTACTCTATCCTAATTCTCGTTGACCTTTCTGCGGCTTTTGACACTGATGATCATCAACAGCTTCTACTCATCCTCCACAATATCGGTCTACAAGATATTGCTCTCTCCTGGTGCTCCTCTTACCTCTCCCAGTGCTCTTTTCTCTGGCTCTGCTTCTTCTCCCCAAACTCCTCTCTGTTGGTGTCCCCCAAGGTTCAGTCATTGGTCCCCTACTATTCTCTATCTATACTGCCTCCCTTGGTAAACTTATTAGCTCCTTTGGCTTCCAATATCATTTCTATGCGGATGACACGCAAATCTATCTGTCCTCTCCTGATCTCTCCCCGTCCCTATTGACTAGTGTCTCTGACTGCCTCTCTGCTATTTCAAACTGGATGGCTGCCCACTTCCTTAAACTCAACTTGACCAAAACTTAAATTCTGGTCTTTCCTCCCTCAAGTGTTGCTACTACTGTGTCTGTCTCCCTCCAAGTCAACGGTGCTACCATCAGCTCCACCACGCAGGCTCGCTGCCTAGGTGTTCTCTTTGACTCCGAGACCTCTCCTTCACGCCTCACGTTCAGTCTATCGCCAAATCCTGCCGCTTCCATCTCAACACCATTGCGCGCATACGACCCTACTTCACGCCAGATGTGACTAAGGTGCTGGTCCTTTCTCGCCTTGACTACTGTAATCTGCTTCTCAGTGGTCTTACGTGCTTCCAACTTGCACCATTACAGTCCATAATGAATGCGGCGCCGAGGCTCATGTTCCTGTCCATGCCTCACCCTTCTGTCAATTCCTACATTGGCTTCCTGTAAGATATAGGGCTCAATTAAAAATTCTGGTTCTTGCTTTCAAATCTCTACATAATGCTGCTACCACCTATCTATCTTCCCTAATACACAAGTATGTCCCGTCTAGGGCCTTACGCTCTGCTGAAGACTTACATCTTTAGTCTGTCCCTACTCCCACCTCTGATGCTTGCCTTCAAGACTTCTCGAGGGCTGCACCGTTCCTGTGGAACTCATTTCCCTCCTCCGTTAGATGCTCACCCAGTCTCCACTCCTTCAACAAATCATTAAAAACCCACTTCTGAATAAAAGTGCATCAATTAAACTATCAATAGCTCCAGACTGATACCTCTCTTGTAACTGTCATTAGTCTAATACCTTTTGTGTCACTTTACCCCACTCCCTCTAGCATGTAAGCTCATTGAGCAGGGCCCACAACCCCTCTGTTCCTATGTGTCCAACTTGTCTGTTTACAACTACATGTTTGTTCGTCCATCCACTGTAAAGCGTTGCGGAATTTGTTGGCGCTATATATAAATAACATAATAAATAATGAATTTTTCCTGAGTTTTGTCAGAATTGATTCCACTTTGAGTTCAGTGGGAAATCAAAGGAGTCCAGCTCATGTCATGATAAAGGAAACTGGGGATCCAGTGTTGGCAAACTCACAAGACAAATTAATAAACTAGAAAGTCAACTGTTTATTTTTTTAAATTTTTTGTACTTATGCACTTTTAAATATATGTTGAATCTGGTTAATAATTCCTTTAGTGACTAAGGTAAAGCGATTCATTAAGAACATTGGATTAAACTCAGAAGAAGGAAGAAAGCAAAAAACAACAAACAAGCACACAAACACAAATTATCAAAAAGTTATAACCCGCTGTAAGTTTCACTGTACTAAAGAATTATGAAAATAGTAATTTGAGTGACTTTAAATGTCATATTTGTGACTAAAACTTTATTTTTTATATATGGATATATATAGACAGATATTTATAGATATAGAAACAATGAACCAAATGAATAAATAGCACAAAGAATATTGTGTAGTGGACTCAAAAATCCTATTACTTAAAAATGACTGTTGCTCTCTAAGTGCCCCTTTTATTTCCCTAATATAGAAAAGGCAGTAATCCAGCAAACACATGGATATAATAGATACACTACGTTTTATAAAGATACAATCACAGAGCATATGCTTCACTTTGATAATGCAGTACAATCTATTCCCCCCAAAAGTCTAATCTAATCTAAAAGAGGTATAACTAAATTCATTTTGTTTTATAAAATGATGCTGATTATTTGCAAGTCAAACAAAAAACTTCAAAGCAAAAATACAATTTAAAATAGCTATGACTTGTTTTCCAGATTCCATATTCACAAATATTTATACAGAACTGTAAAAAAAAAAAGCTATTTATAAAGAGAGTTGGGTATAATGAGCAATAATGGGGCAAAGTTGTAAAAGTTGAGCAGTTACCATGGAAGCCAGCAGATTGGTAGGTCTCGTCTGATTACTCCATTTGTCCCAATATTACTCTTTATGCATAGCCCCGAGAAAGTCATTTGGAATGATACAGTACACGAATAATTAATTACCTGTTATATAGAAAAGGATTTATGCCATGCAAACATGAAAATCCCACAGGGAATTTGCAGCAGCAATTAGTACTTTAAAACAACAACAATAATTTTCAATATTGCAAGGAGTGTCATTTCGTAAGGGTCATTGAAGGACATGAAGCACTGTATAAGGTTTTGGTCGCCGACCCTTACATAAAAAAATGAGGGGATGGAACGTTCGGAAAGGTAAACAAAGATCATTAGGAGAAACAACAATGTAACAGCAAGATTCTAAGCCTCAGCACGGTGGGAGAAGGGGTAAAAAGCACGCAAAAACAGGGGATACGTGTGAATCACCCTCCAGTTATAGAATTCTATTTTACCACCTTAACCAGGGGGCAGCAATTTCATAGCTTGTCCTTACCTGCTTCCAGGTACCAGCGATGTGTAGTATTGACCATAAAACACAGCAGACAGCACCAGAACAGCCAGCACACCCACAAGTTTTAACCAACGGGGACGCATTTAAAAACTACAAAAAATAATCGTAAAATCGGTATAGTAAACAGGGATGAGCGTGTTTTAACGATAGCGGTTCTCAGGAAAATTTGAATGACTTTAAAAAAAAAAAAAAAGTATCGAAAGTAGAACCCCAAGCTTGGATTAAAGTTAGTGGATAAACATTTTAGAGTTCGATAATTCACCGTCTTGGGGATCTCTCACACGCCTTGTGTTGATCTTTTGTATGGAGATGGGAAAGTCAGTTGTTAGAGCACACAGTGTTACACTAAACGTGATCCCAGCAGGGTGTATGGATACACTGAGCATGCCCCTCCCACTCTTTATGGCAGCAATGCCACTAGGGATCCAGGGAAAATCAATCACTAATACACTAAAGATTGTCATGGGATGAACAGTAGATTAGACCATGCTGTCCCTTTAATTTGGGGTACAGCTCAAAGATGGATTTTTGAAGTGCAGCAATAATTTATTGGACCACATTAAGCATTGCTACCCAAATGGAAGAAATCATCCTTGAAACTTTATAGTGCCTTAGGGGTTATTAAAAGATAAATGTATCTTGACATTTGTAGTCATTGATACTCCTAAAATATCTCACTGGGGCTGATTTTCAGTATAGAAAAGAATGCCACCTAATTGGAAAACATAAAAAAAAAATTGAAAACTACTAAACAGGTTATTAGTTGTGCTTATTCGTTTTATTAGTTTAAATTTGGTAAATATAATTTGTTAGTTAAATAATCCAAAAGTTCAAAGTTAATATTGTTTTCTGTATTGTTTATTTAAATTTTACTTAAATAGACTTAAACACACATTTAGTTTACAATATACAATTTACACACGCTGGAATGAATGTGTACATTCTTATTTTTTAACCAAGCATAGCCCCCCCTTGTGGAGAAAAGAGGTAACTGCAACAGATGTTAACAGTGGGATTATTATTTATTATTATTATTATTATTGCCATTTATATAGCGCCAACAGAATCCGTAGAGCTTTACAATATCATGAGAGGGGGATTTAACTATAAATAGGACAATTACAAAACACTTACGGGAACAATAGGTTGAAGAGGATCCTGCTCAATCAAGCTTACATTCTATAGGAGGTGGGGTGTAAAACACAATAGGACAGGAATTTGCAGTCAAATAAGGTGGGCTGCCCTTTAGGAGAGAGCAAGAGACAGGTATGTGAGGTAGAGGTTAGTCTTGGAGGCAGGGCCGTCTTTAACGCGGGGCAAACGGGGCAGCTGCCCCGGGCCCAGTTTCTCTTGGGGGGCCCGAGGCACCTGCCCCGTGGGCCCCGCTGACCCCGGCGGGCGGGCGGGTGGCCGGTCGGGCAGGAAGGCGGGCGCGCGAGGGAGCACTCACTGCTTCCTCTTCAGCTCCCTCGCGCACCGCACTGATGCCGGAGCCGGAAGATGACGCCATCTTCCGGCGCCGGCATCCCTACGCGGCGCGCGAGGGAGCTGAAGAGGAAGCAGTGAGTGCTCCCTCGCGCGCCCGCCTTCCTGCCCGACAGGCCACCCGCCCAGGAGCCCAGCAGCACCACTGGACCCCAGGGAATCCCCCCAGCACTCCAATAGGTAAGGAGGCTGGGGGGATTACATTTTAAAAAAAATGTGTGTTTGTGTGTATGTGTGTGTTAGTGTGTGTGTGTTTGTTAGTGTATGTGTTTGTGTGTGTGTTTGTGTTTGTGTGTTAGTGTATGTGTGTGTTAGTGTATGTGTGTGTGTGTGTGTTAGTGTATGTGTGTGTTAGTGTATGTGTGTGTTAGTGTATCTGTGTGTTAGTGTATCTGTGTGTTAGTGTATGTGTGTGTTAGTGTATGTGTGTGTGTGTGTCAGCATGTCTGTGTGTGTGTCAGTATGTCTGTGTGTGTGTGTCAGTATGTCTGTGTGTGTGTGTCAGTATGTCTGTCTGTCTGTGTGTCAGTATATATGTGTGTGTATATCTGTGTTTGTCAGTATGTGTATGTGTCAGTATGTCTGTCAGTGCGTCAGTATGTCTGTTAGTGCATGTGTATGCATTGGTCAGTATATCTGTCTGTGTGCCAGTATGTCTGTGTGTGTGTGTGTCAGTATATCAGTCTGTGTGTGTCAGTGTATGTGCCTGTGTGTGCGTGTCAGTATTTCTCAGTGTATGTGGGTGTCAGTATATCTGTCAGTGTGTGGGTGTCAGTATATCTGTCAGTGTGTGGGTGTCAGTATTTCTGTCAGTGTATGTGTGTCAGTATGTTGATCAGTGTATGTGTCTGTGTGTGTGTGTCAGTATGTCGGCATATGTGTCTGTGTGTCAGTATGTCTGTATATGTGCCTGTGTCAGTATGTCTGTCAGTACGTCTACCAGTGTATGTGTCTGTGTGTGTGTCAATATATGTACCTGTGTCAGTGTGTCTGTCAGTGTATGTGCCTGTTTATCTGTATGTAGTCAGTGTATGTATCTGTGTATCTGCTTGTGCGTCAGAGTGTGTACCTGCGCATCTGAGCCGCAACTTTAAATACAAATACACCCCTCCATTCAAACTTCAACACTACATATAAAACACACTCTTGCATTGAAACATCAACACTACATACAAGCACACTCCTACATTCAAAAACAAACACTACACATAAATGCACACTTGCATTCAAACTCCAGTACCACATACAAACACATTCACAAAAACATACTCCATACAAACACATGCTTACATTCAAACATACTAACATGGCTCAGTGCTAAATACAACCCTGCAAGCATGGGAAATTGGTAGAGTCCCAGCTGTCAAAGCATTGTTGGAGTTGCACGACTGATGGGGTTCTACCTTTAGTCCAACCTTGCAATTGGGGGTCCCAATAAAATTCATTCTACTTTAGTACCGCCACTGCGTTGGGATGGATGCCGTGATTGCATACCAGGGAGTGAGGGGCGAGAGCGGCAGGGCACAGGGGGCCCAAGCAAACACTTGCCCAGGGTCCATTCGTTATTAAAGACGGCCATGCTTGGAGGCCATAAGCTCTCCTAAAGAGATGGGTTTTAAGGCACTTCTTAAAAGATGCAAGACTAGGGGAGAGTCTGATGGCAGTAGACAGGCTATTCCATAGGAAGGGAGCCACCTGTGAGAAGTCCTGCAAGCGTGAGTTGACCCTACAGGAGCGGACAACGGACAGGAGGTGGTCACGGGCAGAGCGGAGAGACCGAGAAGGGACATACCTATGGATCTGTGAGGAGATATAAGAGGGGCTAGAGTTGTTCAGTGCTTTATAGGTGTGAATTAATACCTTGAATTGACTCCTATAGCAAACAGGAAGCCAATGTGACTGGCAGAGGGGTGAGGTGTGAGAGAACCAACTAGAGAGGAAAATCAGTCTTGCGGCAGTATTCATTATGGACTGTAGCGGTGCAGCTTTTGGGAAGACCAATCAGGAGAGGGTTACAATAATCCATGCGGGAAATTACTAGAGCATGGACAAGCTCCTTGGTAGAATCTTGTGCAAGAAAGGGGCGGATGCGGGCTATGTTTTTAAGATGGAATCTACAGGATTTGGTAACATGCTGGATGTGAGGCTCAAAGGTGAGGCCAGAATCAAGTATGACGTCAAGACAGCGTGCTTGCAAAGATGGACTGATGTGGGTACCACATACTTGAAGGGAGAGCGAAAGAGGAGGAAAGACAAGGAGCTCAGTTTTAGAGAGATTGAGTTTCAGAAAGCGGGAGGACATCCAGTCAGAGATGGAAGAAAGGCAAGCAGTGACACGTTGCAGGACGGCAGGGGAGAGGTCCGGGAAGAGAGATATAACTGGGTGTCATCAGCGTACAGGTGGTAGTGGAATCCAAAGAAGTAATAAGTTTGCCAATAAAGAGAAAATAGAAGGGGACCAAGGACAGAGCCTTGGGGGACTCCAACCGAGACAGGACGAGAAATGCAAGCAGTTCTAGCCAGACCTTTCCAGAGGTATGTTAATATACTCTGCACTAACCTGGTGGGAAATAAATAAAGAAAAAAAAAGGAAAGAAACAAACAAATAAACACACCTTTTTTTCCTGTGTTGTAATTATAGAACTCTGTGCAGAATAGCTCTGGATTTTGAAAATAATGTTGTTAAAATAATTTAGAATGCAAATTTGTTTTTATTTTTGGATGACACAGTTGCAGCCTGCAGGAGAGAAAACAAGGTGGGTTACAAGGTGCTGGGAGGGAAAGCTAATAACAGTTTAATTGATATGCTTTCCTAAAGAAGTGAGTTGTCCCTTCTTTTGCTCACAGATCTTCATTAGCACACCACATTACCAAAGTAATTACACCGCACCAACAAACGCATTGACACACGTTTGTCACATTTGTCTCATGTGACTTTTGCTGTTAGGTCACATTCTTTACCGATACACTCCACTGCAGTTCATCTTGTTACTTTTTACTTAAATAAACAATGCAAAAAACAAACTAGATTTGTGGTGGGGTCTGCAATGCAGTCTAGCAGAGACAGACAGAGTGAACTTTGCAACTATTCTCGATATATTACATATTTTTAAAGGTTTTTATTCTTCGTTTTGAGTTGCACCGACAATAGCCTGTCTGAGAATGCATTAAGGCTAACTAATTTTAACTAATTTGTGCCGACAGCTGACAAGCTCTCCTGGTTGGGTAGGTCGCCTATCTCCTGCCTGGAGCAAACATCATCTATTCCATCTATATTATTATAATTATTAGAATTTATATAGCACAATCATTTTCCGCAGCACTTTACAATTATAAAATGGGGATATTTAAAAACAAGTAATTTACATAATAATACAGATTATATAAGTGTCAATGTACTACCTCAATATGCAAACTAGAGGCAATAGGAGACTAAGCACATATTACCAATCCTTCGAGTGGCCGGCATTACGTAAAGAGCATAGAATATAGCCCTAATAAAGAACAAGAACAAATGGAGATGGGTCAAGGTCAATGATAGAAGAAGGTAGATAAATCAAGTACACAAAGGTCAGGAATTCTAGAGTTAAGACTAGTTAAAAATAAGTGAGCCAAGTCCCAACTGGAAAATTACACTGAATACTATAATGCATTATCGGGCGACTAAGACCATGACAGTGCAAGGAAGTTGTGTCAGAAAAAGGTTTAAATAGACATACGTGTGTGGTGATTGGTTGGAGAACTATTAGTGTATTATTAATTTAAGTATGTGTTTTCAGCCCACAAGTGATTTGGGCTTTTATCACCTAAAATGTGGAATGGAAGCTGGTATATCATAATGATGTCATCATGCACAGCCCCAGCACGTGCGCATATGCATTTATTGATGGCCAAATGCTGGGACGC